AAACAATAATAGGCTTATGTCTTCATGCAAGGTTGCTGCAGTTTCACAGTTCTAGCAGCAATGAGAAATGGGAAGGGATATATTGCACGCCAGGGATGCACAGAAAGGGAACATACGTGAGAAATATTTGGTGATAGGTTGACGCCTATGGGGCCTTACCGGATCTTGAGGACGTTCCATCTGTAAATTCTTTGGTGCTGGAGCTCCCAGAGTTGCCTTTTGGTACTGGAGAGCCAGAGGGCGAGCCACTTTCCGATTCAGGAACATGAACTGAAGACAATCCATCCTTTGAAACAACATATGCCGTGCAAAAGCTGGGGAGACACTTGCAAATTTTGCAGGCCGTCCTACTTGCAGTGGACCTCCTATAAGATCCAATGGTCATCAGGAGCATGCACATTATTTCTTATTCATCACGAATTAGTACAGTACAGGTATGAGTATGAGTATGAAGGAGCTACCTAGTGAATGGGCTCTTGCTGGGAGGGTTACCGATAACGAGGTTATGTATCTGGTACTGAGAAACAAGACTGGAAATGGTATCCGCGACATCTTTACCCTCAACAAGCAGTACTTGAGCTTCAACCTGAGCCAAGTAAGTCAAGAAAATAATTCAACCATCAGACAAGGGGTTGATGCATTCATTCAGCCAGTCTAGAATAGGAAATGGAGATATGCTTGTTAAGGCAGGTCAACCTGGGCTATAGTAGTAAGTAAACAAATAAATTCAACCAACAGACAAGGGGTTGATGCATTCATTCAGCCAGTGTAGACTATGAAATGGAAATGGAGTACTAGTACTTGTTAAGGCAAGTCAACCTGAGCCAATTAAACAAACAAATAAATCCAGCCAACATAGAAGGGGGTCGATCCACTGATTCATTCATTCATTCAGATTCATTCTAGAACATGAAATGCAAAGGCAGGAGCACTTGCTGATCCAAACCAACCTTGTTTTCATCACACGTGTCTTTGCAGCGTTGCAGCATTTCCTGCTTCTCGATCCACATCTTCTCGAGCTCGCCTTCGGCGACGCTGTTGCTGACTTCATCAATCGGGAGGAGGTGCCCCACTGAAGGTAGACAGGCACAGGCACAAACACAAACAGATGGTGAGCATGCGTACGGCGAAAGCAAACTCAAACGCGCGGAAGCGACGAGGAGGAAGGAGCGGCGGGGCGTGAAGAGCCGTGGCGTTGCGTACATGGCGTGGGCACGGCCAGGACCGGGGTGAGGACGTGGATGAGCTTGAACTCGGCGGGAGGGGCGTCGTCCTGGGCGAAGTTGCGGAGCGCCCACCGGAGGACGTAGGCGCTTGATTTGGGGCCGCTGAGCGCCAGCCCTACCACCTTGGGCGCCGCGGCCCCCTCTTCGTCCCCTTCGGCGGCCATCGCGTGCCCTGCAGGTTCATCAGCAAGAGACGGCGAAACGGAATCGGTCAGCAACGGCCGCAGGAAATCACGGACGCGCTCTGGTAGGTAGGAGAAGAGCGCGCGAGAGCTCCGCCGCCGCGACGCGACGCGCGCGGCGCCGACGACGACCAGGCTAGGGCCTCTCGAGCCGGGCCGAGCAGAGCAGCCACGCGCATGCGCGCGCGCGCGCTCTGGTCGGGGAAGAGCGGGCGAGAGAGAGGAGCGCAGCACAGGGATTCCGCCTCCGCGGCGTCCGCGCGAGGCCCCGCCGGCTAGGGTGCGGCAGGGCCTCTTGAGCCGAGCGCGAGCGAGCGAGCGGGGGAGGGGTTTCGCATGCATTCGGTGGGGGTGGAGCGGGGCTGGCTTACCCGTGGAGCGCGGGCGGCGCTTCACTTCGGCCGGCGACGGCGACGGCGACGGCGACGGCGACGGCGAGGGCCCCCGGAGCGGAGGAAGGGGAGGGGAGGAGGGAAGCTACGCTACGTTACGGTCCGTTGCGCAGCGGGGGGGATGCGGAGTTTTGTAGGACGGACGCAACGGACCGGTCGAATGGGCCGCGCTAGCTTCGTGGGCTTCGTGGGCTTGGCCGGAGTGAAAGCCCACTTCGGTTGGCCAGCTGGTTGCTGGGCCCATCCTCTCCTTTCTTGCTCTAGGGCTCAACTCGGCCCACCCACCTCCGCTCTGCCACCACTACAAATGAAAAAAAACTAGAGACGCACTGCCCTCAGAGGGGAGGAACCGCGGTCGCCGCTCCCTTCCGCCGATGAGCTCCGACCGGATCATGAAATCGCCCTAATTGTTTGGAGTTCTTAGAAACATTTTGAACATTCAATAAACCCTAAATATAATTTAGGGAATTATTACTGCGAAATTCACTTCATTGCATAAAACATATATTCATGTAATTGCTTTTAGCCAGAAATAAATGTTCGCAAAACTCTATATGAGGCTAGCTAATGTTGTGAATTGTTTGGTTTTTTTATGGTTTCATTTGGATAAGTTTTGGCCCCCAAAACCCTTTGTTGTAAATTCAATTGATAAATAAAACTATTTCGCTGGACCAAAAACTTATTCAGCCCTGGCGCACATGAACCGGCCTACCCAGGCTTTTGGCCCGTGACCTTTCTCTCTCTCTAAACAAGGTGGTTCCTTGGTGGAGCCATTGAAGCCACCTTAATCCCGCTCAAGTGAGATGACTGATTAGATCTCAACAGGCAGGAAAGGCCCTACACTGCTGACAAGAAAAATGTAGGGTGAAATGATATCTCCTTGTTGAATACCCCTGGATGGCCTGAACTCCCCAAGCTTCTTACCGTTGAATAAAATTGACTTGACCATCACCATAACCACACTAAACCACTGATGGCTAAACCCAAGCTTCAACATTATAGCCTCGAGATACTACCGCTCGGCCATGTCATAAGCTTTCATCAGATCTAATCTAAGAGCATCATAACTGTTGGTCTTGGATATATTCCTCTTCATAAAATGTAGACACTCATATGTTGATATAATAGTCTGTGATGAGTCTACCTGGCAAAAAAAGTTGAGTGTTCTTGTGAAATAATTCCATGGAGAATAACCTTGAAACAGTTGACCACAACTTTTGAAGTAATCTTATAGAGGACATTGCACAGACTTGTCGGTCTAAATTGTGAGAGGGAGGAAGGATTTGCTCCCTTTGGTATTAGAACCAAGATAGTGCCGTTGATGGATTCAACATTCTCTTCCCCCTTGACAATTCTCAAAACCAGCAGCATGATCTCTTTACCGCACAAGTCCAAGTGACGCTGAAAAAAAGAGCGAGAAATCCATCCAGTCCATGAGCCTTGGTCGGAAACATTTGGAACCATTCATCTCCAAACTCACTTTCTGTAGCACTTGTTTTAAGACTTGTTTCCATGTCGTGTACCCCTTTTGATGAAAAAAATATATTTTCATAAAACTCTCTTGCAAGGTTCTCCATCTCAGCTCGTACTGAAGGGAGCTCCTATTCTGCCAGCGCACACCCATTCCCCTCCCGCGCGCCCCTCATGGGCCGGCCCATAAGCGGGATTGGGCTCCCCAGTTATTTTATTTCATATTTTTCATTTTTTTAACCTTTTTCTATTTTTTATTCTTTAAACAAATTCGGAATATTAAACCATTATTTTGTTCATAAAATTCAGAAACAATGTTCGCTAATTCAAAAATCGATGAACATTTTTCGAACTTGATGAACAAAAATATTATTCAATGAACATTTTTTGGAAAATCAATACAACAAATTTTGAATTTGATGTACATTTTTTGAAAGGAAAATATGGAAAAATTTCGATTTTTATAAAAAAAAATTATTCTTGATGACCAATTTTTAAATTCGATGGATAAAATTTGAATTCAATGATTTTTTTACATTTTTGAATCCGATGAACAAAATAATGTTCATGAATTAAAATAAAATTCCCAAAAAATTGAAAATTAAAGAAGAAAAAACCAAAAAGAGAACAAAAAGAAGAAAATAGGAAAGAACACAAAGAAAGAAAAGAAGAAATGGAACAAAAAATTGAAAAAAAGGGCGAGACTACTTGTGAAAATCCCCAAAAAACTAGGCTGGTCCATTGTGCGAATGATTCAACCTCGGGTGTGCGCACTATTCCGCTAGACAGCGCCAAATGGGAGTCGGCTGTATTGAAGTATCCCAACTTGATGGTGCTGACTTATCGTCTACATTGTGAGAGGGAGGAAGAATTTGTTCCCTTTGGTATTAGAACCAAGGTAGTGCCATTGATGGATTCAATGTTCTCTCCCCCCTTGACAATTCTCAAAACAACCATCGTGATCTCTTTGCGCCACACGTCTCAGTGACGCTGACAAAAAGGACGTGAAACCCATCCAGCCCAGGAGCATATATAGGAAACATTTGGACACAAGGTCTTTTTTACTTCCTCTTCTGTATATGGCTCCACTAAGGATGCGTTCATCTCTAAACTCACTTCTCTTTAGCACTTGTTTTAAGACTTGTTTCCATGTCGTGTACCCCTTCCAATGAAAAATGGTTTTTTGTAAAACCCTCTTGCAAGGTTCTCCATCTCGGTTGGGATTCAAGTATCCCAACTTGACGGCGCTGACGGTTTGGGGGAAGTCAGGAAAGTCTGCCTAGCCCATTATTAGTTGGACCATGTCCCTCGACAGCCCATGCGCAACTTTATCTCTTTTTTTCTTCTCCTAGACCGCCTAGCCCACTATTAGTCATAACACATGGTTTGGATTTGATGCATACGGTTGGATGATCTTTGTCTCTACCATTTGTCTCGGGACACGTACTTGTTACTTGTCCACAAATAATATGGATCAGAGGGAGTAGTGAAAATAGCACTAGCAGTAACAATTGACTGCCAGTCAGAGTAGCAGTAAAGTGGTAAAATTGGAACCAGCCAGCGAAGGAATCGAGACGGGGAAGGAATCCGTCGAAACGGAACGCCTTTTTCTCCTCCCCCGCAAAACCACCGCCCGCCCGCCGCAACCAGCCCACAGATTTCCTCCCACCTTTCCCCTCCGCCCCTCCTCCGGCCGGCCAAGAATCTCGCCGCCGCCTCGCCGGCCCTCCATGGCGCTGTACCGCCGCGCGGCCTCCGCGATCCGGCGGCGCGGGGCAGGGGGCCTGCCCCTGCTCCCGGCGCGGGCGATGGCGTCGCTCTTCGGCCACGTCGAGCCGGCGCCCAAGGACCCCATCCTCGGCGTCACCGAGGCCTTCCTCGCCGACCCCTCCCCCGACAAAGTCAACGTCGGCGTCGTACGTGCTTACACTCCTCTTATAGCTCGCCTCTTTATTTGGAATCTTCCCATCCGAATGCCGCCGCCGGCTGGTTCTGACAAAATGGCTGGGCGAACTGCAGGGCGCCTACCGGGACGACAGCGGCAAGCCCGTCGTGCTCGACTGCGTGCGCGAGGCGGAGCGCCGGATCGCCGGCAACCTCAACATGTGCGTGAGATCCCCTTCCCGGCTCCCTTGATCCGCTCGCTCTTGCTAGCTGCTGCTTGCACGGATAGTGTTCGATGAAATTTCCGCCGGCCAGGATGACGGCGGGCTTGAGTGGGCACGGAGTCGGCCGATGCTAGTGTTTTCTCTTGTCTAGTTGTGCGTGTTGGGAATCTCAGCTGCTTGCTTGCTTCGCACCTGCTGATCCACTAGTTAGTTGCAAGGACCTTATGTTCATTTTTATGTGCGGGCTGGGGAGAAATAGCATGCTAGATGCTTGATCGATAACCGATACTATTGGCAGGGGTAGGAACTGCTGCGGTTAAGAAATTACAACCTTCCAAATAGGAACCGCATCGACGCCTTTATCTTGTAGTGGCGCCGGTTTTTCTTATTTTCTCCTTCAATGAGATTTTGGAATGCTAGCATTTTTTACTTTCTGCTTATTGGCCGGACACCAGTTTTGGGTTGATCTACATCATAATTTTCAGATGATGCTTTTTGGCAGCTTTATCATGAAAAAGATGGTTCGGTCATCCTAGACATGCTGTCTTTTGCTTGATACTAGACCATATCAATCTTAAACACAAACACTTAACTACTGGAGAGTGGACACTGCCAGTTTGCCATGTGTTTTGGCTTCCAGACTTATGATCAGTATCTTGGTTACATTTGCAAAACAGGGAGTACCTTCCAATGGGAGGGAGTATCCACATGATTGAAGAGTCGCTAAAGCTGGCGTATGGCGAGGACTCCGAGTTCATCAAAGATAAAAGAATTGCAGCGGTGCAGGCACTTTCAGGAACTGGCGCATGCCGGCTCTTCGCTGATTTCCAGAAGCGTTTCCTGCCGGATTCGCAGATCTACATACCTACACCAACTTGGTCCAAGTGAGTTAATGCTCTGCTGTGACACCAATTGCTCTCTTGTTCACTTTTCAGATTATTTTAAGGAAAAAAAGAAAGAAAGATCTTCAGTAAACACCATTGTGGTCTACATGAGAACTACTCCCTCCGTCCCATATTAACTGTTGCTCAAAAGGATGTATCCGTTTGAGCTACAGTTAATATGGGACGGGGGAAGTAGTTTATCTTACCTTAGGCTTGCTGCTATGAAAGTCAAACAGAATTCATAAGCAGTTGTCTTCCCACTTGCGCTACATCCTTAGTAGCTAACATTAATGTCGGAAACTTCTCCAGCCATCATAATATTTGGAGGGATGCTCAAGTGCCACAGAGGACATTCTCATATTACCATCCGGAATCGAGAGGGCTTGACTTTGCAGGATTGATGGATGATATCAAGGTGATCCATTTCCCGAGTATCATTTTTATTATGACATCTTGCATTGTTGCTCATTCCTGTATCAAACTTTGTATGGATTTGTAAAACCACGTAGCTATAGATCAATTATCAACTTCTCATGTTACTTGTTCTATCTGTCACCTTGAGTTTTTTATATACATATATAGTTTCAGCCTGTTAGACTTTGGAAGTTAAGACAGAGAAAGACTTGCCATTTCCCAAGTGATTCTAGCATGTTGACAGTGTGTATTTGTCTATAGCTGCTTCGATTTTATGTTTTCTTCTTCTGATTTTCTGTGTCATCCGCAGAATGCTCCAAATGGTTCATTCTTTTTGCTTCATGCATGTGCCCATAATCCTACTGGAGTAGATCCTACTGAGGAACAATGGCGAGAAATATCCTATCAGTTCAAGGTAAGGAGAAATAGAAGATAACAGATATTGGTGTTGATTGTATATTGGCTTCCTGTTTGCTACAGGTTACAGCTTGCATATCTCACTCTTGTGTTTCTATAGTTGAAGAACCATTTCCCATTCTTTGACATGGCATACCAAGGATTTGCCAGCGGTGATCCAGAGAGAGATGCCAAGGCAATCCGTATATTCCTTGAAGATGGACACCAAATTGGATGTGCTCAGTCATATGCAAAGAACATGGGTCTTTATGGACAGAGAGCGGGATGCCTGAGGTATCCAATTGACCACTGCTAGTTATCCTTGAAACATTTATCATGATGCTATCACCTTAGTTCTTGGTTTCAGCAATAGTGTATGTTCTGACCAACTACACGCATGCTCCTGTAAAATTAAGTGTGGCTTTCCGGTAAAAAATAAATAAGTATGGCTTGTTGGAGATTGTTGGATTCCTCAAGACACATGGTGTTTTAAAAATAAAACAAAAGACAAGAAATACTTCACTTCAGGGAATGCTCCCTGTGTATTATCTGTAGCGAAGTCTATGACTCTCAAAGAAAATATGTTTTGTTTTATTTAAATGGTAGCCATATCATGATCGTTGCTATCGTTTGATTTGCTGCCATTGCAGTATCCTCTGCGAGGATGAGATGCAAGCAGTTGCTGTTAAGAGCCAATTGCAACAGATTGCGAGACCAATGTACAGCAACCCACCTGTTCATGGTGCGCTGGTTGTTTCAATTATCCTTAGTGATCCAGAATTGAAGAACGTATGGTTAGGAGAGGTCAAGGTAAACTGTTGATTAGCTGCCTAAACCATTTAAAGCTCCTAAATGAAGTCTATGGAGTATGTAAAGAAAGTAGTTTATTAACAATTCTTGTTGTCTCTAGGGCATGGCTGATCGTATCATTGGAATGCGGAAGGCACTTCGGGAGAATCTTGAAAAGTTAGGTTCACCTTTATCATGGGAGCATGTCACCAATCAGGTAAGTAGCACTATGATAAATGTCATTATGGAATTTCTGAATTTAATACTAGTGGCATGCAAATTGTAGCGATGCACAATAGTTGAGAGAATGCTAGCAATTGTAAGGTCCCACCCTGGGGTACTATAATCTTGTAGTTATAGAGAATTTTGTTCACCAGGGACTACATTTGATACAACTTAAGGAAATTATGTCTCCCACACTTTCGTGCAAACTCAGATGGGGAAAATGATTATATGATGTGTGGGTTATGGTGCCAATACAGTCCTGCAAGTCACAATCTCCATCTGTTTGGCGCTGATATCTTTAGCTGGACAAGAATATCTGCATTCATTTCAACTTTGCTTCTTTTGGAGATTGGCAATTTTGCTATTGGTTATATGTAAGAGCTGTTTTGTATATTCGTGCAGATTGGAATGTTTTGCTACAGTGGGATGACACCTGAACAAGTCGATCGCCTGACAAGTGAATACCATATCTACATGACACGCAATGGGAGAATAAGGTACTAACAACGGCTAGAACTATTCAGTTTCTTCATGTTTTTCTTTGTTTTGCTGGCGCATTTGGTCTAATTTCCTCACGTAAACTTGTTCTGCGTCTATTCTTTCAGCATGGCCGGCGTAACGACGGGCAACGTCGCCTACTTGGCTAATGCCATTCATGATGTTACCAAGTGAAATTGAGGACCGTCTTCAGCGAATGGAGCGAGAGCGTTTCCCCTTTGTTACTAGGGCTGTTCACTCTATACTGTCATGCTAGAGAAATAAGTTCTAGGAAGTAAACCTGTTGCGGCTGCCCAACAACGGAAAATTCTACCTGTATGTATGGAGAAGCAGAGACGTCCTGACTTATTTTTGCGAGATTATCCTATTTTTGATTCTGGTCACATTCGAATGTAACGTCAGTGGAAAAATGAGTGGTTATACCTTGATTTTAACAAGATGCTGGAGGTCTTCAAACTCGACGAAATCGAACATTTGGATGTGTGTCTTGCAGTTCTAGCCTTGCAGTTGTAGATCCAAGCGAAAGCTCGGTTTGCGATACTGAGATGTATGCAAGCAATCAAGCATGCCCTGTTCTTCAGCTTGGGTCTAAGCAGAGCAATGTGCTCCGCTACCTTTCTGCCAGCGCGTATATGCAGTGTACTACATTCAGGCAATGAAATGGTGGTCTGCAGGATTCTAAAGTTCCAAGTAAGATGTTACTACGGCAATGGAATCTGAGGATGAAACTGTGGTCTCAAGGTAAATTGCTCAAATGGCGAAAATATGTGTTGCAGCAGCTTGTTTTCTTCCCTGTAAACCTTGTGACGGTTGAATAAAGCTTTGTGAGTTTGTCTAAAAAAGAAAAACCAGCAAGGAACTGCACCTCTGGTGGTAGCATCATATATGTTCTCCCCAAGTTGTACATTTTATTTCCTTCTGTGTGAAATTGAATCAGGATATCTGGTTTCTTAACATTTTGAACAACACATGAATTAGACTTGGACCTGAATTTTTTAGTAAGAAGAAGGGAAGCCTTGCATGAACACACGAAGGAGACCTGCACGAACTAGGGAATTTTTTTTCCGGAAAAATGGTTGTAGAAATAGAATAGAATGTTGCTATCAATTCATTCAGTTCTGTGAACCTGTTCTGCAATAGTTTTATCATCCGTGTAATCCTGTCTCTGTCTGTCTTTCCCAAGGATCATGCTCAATGAGAGACGATATGTATACATCCGACCTAGTATTATAACAATCCATTTGATACGTTACGGATCAGTGCCATGTCTGAACTCATCAATGATTTGCCGTGGAGAACATGCAACAAGTTGGTGCTCAGAACTGAACTAGCAGCAACATTATATAAAGTCAACCCTGCAGCTCTCTAACCACACAACACAAGCAATCGAGGCAAACAAACCAGTACTGTAACAGCAACCAAGAAGAAGTATACGAGGGTTATAGTTCAGCACTGTTCAGTAGCTAAGATGGCCACTGCAAGAGCTCTAGCCACCATGGCAATCTTCCTCCTGGTGACGCTCTCCACCGCCCACATCGCGTCCTCACTCCGCTCGGGTCTCGGTGTCTGCCGTGCGAGTGGCTACCTTCCAGGAAAGTCGGGCAACTGTGAGAAGAGCAACGACCCAGACTGTTGCGAGGATGGCAAGAGGTACCCGCAGTACCACTGCTCGCCGCCGGTCACCGCAACCACCAAGGCCGTCTTGACGCTCAACAGCTTCGAGAAGGGCAAGGACGGCGGCGGTCCGTCCGAGTGTGACAATTCCTACCACAGCGATAAGGAGATGGTCGTTGCGCTCTCCACCGGCTGGTTCAAGAACATGGCCCGTTGCGGGCACCGCATCAAGATCAGCGCCAATGGCAAGTCTGTGTATGCCAAGGTGGTGGACGAGTGTGACTCCGTCTATGGCTGCGACGAAGACCACAACTACGAGCCCCCGTGTGCTAACAACATCGTTGACGCCTCTCCTGCGGTGTGGAATGCCTTGGGGCTCGACCAGAACGTCGGCATGGAGGGCATCACCTGGTCTGATGAGTAGTTTCCAAAGCAAAGGTGAGCGCAGGTTGTTGCTACCATGTGTCAGTCCAGTGTCATGTATATAATTTTCATTCTTAGAGGGAAGTCCAGTGTACACTTATCCTATACTCGGGAGGTTTACCAGATTCTGTATATGATTCCATGAATTTATAAAATAAACAGTGCTACCTATGTTTTAGCATGGATGGCAAGTTCACGTTTGCTCTACGATCAAGCATATAATACATAGTGAGCAGCGTGGTGCATAAAGAATATGAAACACACTAGAGAGAGAGAGAGAGAGAGAGAGAGAGAGAGAGAGAGATAGAGAGAGAGAGAGAGAGAGCTGAGAAAGCTACACGCTCATTTTCAAGGGTAGCCGAACAAGTATAACAAAACGGTAACAAACTACATCATTCACATTTGCACATAATCAACTAATTATGCAATCCAGATGATTGCATGATTCAGTAATGTGTTACAAGCACTCAACTCAGGCATGGTTCTGGACAGATGTAACAACAAATGTTGGTTTCTATTCCAAAGTTTGATAACCCCAAATCAGTAAGTCAGTCCCAGCCATTTTTCTTCACACAAAGTAGTTTATAAAGTTATCAAGAAATGTTGCTAACTGTTTGAAGAGTATGGCTGCCTGAGATAATTTTTGCAATAAGCAAGCACACTTTCATTCCATGGTGCATGGTCACCAATAATGATTTTGTGGCATATGAGTGTTATCATACTACAAAGAAAACAAAGGAAAGGAAGGTTTTGTCTATGTGATGTCAAGCTTGATATGCACAATTCGTATGACCAGGTGGACTGGAATTTTTGATAAGTATTATGTTCAATCTGGTTTTTGACTCTAAGTGGGTGGATCTCATTATCGAATGCGTCTCACCCATTAAATATCAGGTCCAGTTAAATTAATTGTCAAGTACCTGCTCTATTCTCTCCCACTTGGGGCCTCCATTAGTGGTTCCCGTTGTCAACATAAGTATTCCCATTCGACGGTAAGGGGCTTTTGAGTTTATTTAAGAACAAGGAGTTAGGGAATAATCTAGGAGTAAGTTTAAAGTTTGTTGAGGCTCCCTTTGTTTTTCAAATATAATATTTGCATAAGTATCCTTAATCTTTATGGGAATATACAATACTAATGCAAAACATGGAGGGATGAGCTACCACTGAAAGGGGCCCACGTAGCGAGTAGAAACGAGGGGTTTTTCCTGCCGTTCCGGTATGGACGAAGGCGGTGTCGGCACAATCCATTCTTGACATCGTCGACGTTTCGTACAAAAGATTGACGAGAGAAGCGAGCGCACTCGTCCATGTAGGAAAAGGTCCGGAGCAAGGAAAATGTCCCCCACGGCGGTCAGTGGTGACGAGCACCTTTGAGGTGCATGGTGCGGTGATCCAAAAATGGTATTGGAGTGCCGTGGGTGCTACACGGTGGCGATTGGGCCGCATTGGTGTATGAGGTTGATGAGGGATGCTCTAGAGAGCTCATGGCGGTAAGAAGTGGTGGTGGCTATTATTTCTCCAGTAGTGGAAAATGAGAGTGTAGGGGTATAACTCATTAGGCATGAAGATTCCCAAGAATGGGTGGAGGAGCTATGGGTGGGAAAGAGTGCTCGGGGAGGGGGAGTTTCTAAATAGGAGATCTTCCGGAGGTGATAATGATGGGTTTCTCTGGCTAAAGCACACACGCTTGAAGCGATACGATTGGAGTTTTGTTGTAGTACGTGAAGGAAATATGCCCTAGAGGCAATAATAAAGTTATTATTTATTTCCTTATATCATGATAAAAGTTTATTATTCATGCTAGAATTGTATTAACCGGAAACATAATACATGTGTGAATACAAAGACAAACAGAGTGTCACTAGTATGCCTCTACTAGACTAGCTTGTTAATCAAAGATGGTTATGTTTCCTAACCATGGACAAAGAGTTGTCATTTGATTAACAGGATCACATCATTAGTTGAATGATCTGATTGACATGACCCATTCCATTAGCTTAGTACCCGATCGTTTAGTATGTTGCTATTGCTTTCTTCATGACTTATACATGTTCCTATGACTATGAGATTATGCAACTCCCGTTTGCCAGAGGAACACTTTGTGTGCTACCAAACGTCATAACGTAACTGGGTGATTATAAAGGAGCTCTACAGGTGTCTCCAAAGGTACATGTTGGGTTGGCGTATTTCGAGATTAGGATTTGTCACTCCCATTGTCAGAGAGGTATCTCTGGGCCCTCTCGGTAATGCACATCACTTAAGCCTTGCAAGCATTGCAACTAATGAGTTAGTTGCAGGATGATGTATTACAGAACGAGTAAAGAGACTTGCCGGTAACGAGATTGAACTAGGTATGGGATACCGACGATCAAATCTCGGGCAAGTAACATAACAATGACAAAGGGAACAACGTATGCTGTTATGCGGTCTGACCGATAAAAGATCTTCGTAGAATATGTAGGAGCCAATATGAGCATCCAGGTTCCGCTATTGGTTATTGACTGGAGACGTGTCTCGGTCATGTCTACATTGTTCTCGAACCCGTAGGGTCCGCACGCTTAAGGTTACGATGACAGTTATATTATGAGTTTATGCATTTTGATGTACCGAAGGTTATTCGGAGTCCCGGATGTGATCACGGACATGACGAGGAGTCTCGAAATGGTCGAGACATAAAGATTGATATATTGGAAGCCTATGTTTGGATATCGGAAGTGTTCCGGGTGAAATCGGGATTTTACCGGAGTACCAGGAGGTTACCGGAACCCCCCGGGAGCTACATGGGCCTTAGTGGACCTTAGTGGAAGAAGAGGAGAGGCGGCCAGGGCTGGGCCGCGCGCACCTCCCCCTAGTCCGAATAGGACAAGGAGAGAGGGGGCCGGCGCCCCCCTCCTTTCTCTCTCTCTCTTTTCCACCTCGCGAATCCTATTCCAACTAGGATTGGGGGAGAAGTCCTACTCCCGGAGGGAGTAGGACTCCTCCCGGCGCGCCCTATGATGGCCGGCCGGCCTCCCCCCTTGAGCCTTTATATACGGAGGCAGGGGCACCCCAGAGAGACACAAGTTGATCCACGTGATCATATTCTTAGCCGTGTGCGGTGCCCCCTTCCACCATAGTCCTCGATAATATTGTAGAAGTGTTTAGGCGAAGCCCTGCTGCAGTAGAGCATCAAGATCGTCACCACGCCGTCGTGCTGACGGAACTCTTCCCCGACACTTTGCTGGATCGGAGTCCGGGGATCGTCATCGAGCTGAACGTGTGCTAGAACTCGGAGGTGCCGTAGTTTCGGTGCTTGATCGGTCGGGCCGTGGAGACGTGCGACTACATCAACCAAACGCTTCCGTTGTCGATCTACAAGGGTACGTAGATCATACTCTCCCCTCTCGTTGCTATGCATCATCATGATCTTGCGTGAGCGTAGGAATTTTTTTGAAATTACTACGAAACCCATCAGTGGCATCCGAGCCTAGGTTTTATATGTTGATGTTATATGCACGAGTAGAACACAAGTGAGTTGTGGGCGATATAAGTCATACTGCTTACCAGCATGTCATACTTTGGTTCGGCGGTATTGTTGGACGAAGCGGCCCGGACCGACATTACGCGTATGCTTACGCGAGACCGGTTCTCCCGACGTGCTTTGCACATAGGTGGCTTGCGGGTGACAGTTTCTCCAACTTTAGTTGAACTGAGTGTGGCTACGCCCGGTCCTTGCGAAGGTTAAAACAGCACCAACTTGACAAACTATCGTTGTGGTTTTTGCGTAGGTAAGATTGGTTCTTGCTTAAGCCCGTAGCAGCCACATAAAACATGCAACAACAAAGTAGAGGACGTCTAACTTGTTTTTGCAGGGCATGTTGTGATGTGATATGGTCAAGACATGATGCTAAATTTTATTGTATGAGATGATCTTGTTTTGTAACCGAGTTATCGGCAACTGGTAGGAGCCATATGGTTGTCGCTTTATTGTATGCAATGCAATCGCGCTGTAATGCTTTACTTTATCACTAAGCGGTAGCGATAGTCGTGGAAGCATAAGATTGGCGAGACGAGAACGATGCTACGATGGAGATCAAGGTGTCGCGCCGGTGACGATGGTGATCATGACGGTGCTTCGGTGATGGAGATCACAAGCACAAGATGATGATGGCCATATCATATCACTTATATTGATTGCATGTGATGTTTATCTTTTATGCATCTTATCTTGCTTTGATTGACGGTAGCATTATAAGATGATCTTTCACTAAATTATCAAGAAGTGTTCTCCCTGAGTATGCACCGTTGCGGAAGTTCTTCGTGCTGAGACACCACGTGATGATCGGGTGTGATAGGCTCTACGTTCAAATACAACGGGTGCAAAACAGTTGCACACGCGGAATACTCAGGTTATACTTGACGAGCCAAGCATATACAGATATGGCCTCGGAACACGGAGACCGAAAGGTCGAGCGTGAATCATATAGTAGATATGATCAACATAGTGATGTTTACCAATGAAACTACTCCATCTCACGTGATGATCGGACATGGTTTAGTTGATTTGGATCACGTAATCACTTAGAGGATTAGAGGGATATCTATCTAAGTGGGAGTTCTTTAAGTAATATGATTAATTGAACCTAAATTTATCATGAACTTAGTACCTGATAGTATCTTGCTTGTTTATGTATGTTTGTAGATAAATGGCCCGTGCTGTTGTTCCGTTGAATTTTAATGCGTTCCTTGAGAAAGCAAAGTTGAAAGATGATGGTAGCAATTACACGGACTGGGTCCGTAACTTGAGGATTATCCTCATTGCTGCATAGAAGAATTACGTCCTGGAAGCACCGCTGCGTGCCAGGCCTGCTGCTGGAGCAACACCAGATGTTGTGAACGTCTGGCAGAGCAAAGCTGATGACTACTCGATAGTTCAGTGTGCCATGCTTTATGGCTTAGAACCGGGACTTCAACGATGTTTTGAACGTCATGGAGCATATGAGATGTTCCAGGAGTTGAAGT